AGAGAGAGAGAATGGAGTTGGAAGGGGCCTTGGAGATCTTCTAGTCCAACCCCCCTCCTCAGACAGGAGACCCTATATAATATCCCAGAGTTAACAATTGTTAATAAGAAAGACAAAAAAATAGTCTGGATAGTGGGCATGACCAGTACCTGGGAACAGCAGACGAGAAGAGAAAGAACTAGAGACAATCAAAAAATACAAAGACCCACAAACAGAAATGGACCCACTATGGCAAAAGTAAGACTGATAGTAACAGGCACCTTGGGTACAATCCCAAAAACATCTGGAGCACTACTTGAGCATCTTCAGTATTGGCAAATGACTATCTGTTAATTGCAAAGGACAGCTTTACTTTGAATGCTCATATTCTGTGATGATATCTTTATTATTGTTAAATAACAGCTTCTGTGTGTCCCTTGGAAAAGATCCGTTAGATAGATGAAAACGCTAAATCTAGACTAAATATCTGGCTGACTGTGCAATGAACCATAATAACTACATTAAAATAAAAATGGTTCTCATGATAGTTATACAACAGCCTCAGAATCTTTGCTGCTCGTTGAAATGCATCTAATAAATGGCCCTTGATTCTTTCTATTTTATATAAGTAAACATATTTCCAATATTAAAAAAATATCCTGCTTGGAAAAGTATACAGTAAGAAAATTGTTTCTTGTCTACATATACATATAGAATAGAGTTGGAAGGGACCTTGAAGGTCTTCTAGTCCAACCGCCCTGCTCAAACACGAAAACCTATTTCAGCAAATGGCTGTCCAGTCTATTCTTAAACACCTCCAGTAATGAAGTACCCACAACTTCTGAAGGCAAGCTGTTCCACTGGTTAATTGTTCTCACTGTTAGGAAGTTTGTCCTTAATTCTAGGTTCTTAGGTTGTGGCTACCTGAGATTATCCAAGATGTGGGTAGGTATCTCCTTTCTGTGACTTCATTTGGGCTTTTATAATTTGGAATTTAGAATTATTAGTAAAATTTATAAAATTCTAAACATAATTTTATACCACTTGCATTTTCTCAATTGACTCACATTTGAAAGCTCAATGTTGCTATGGCCCTATTCATATTTCTTTACATATTTAACAGATGTTTTTATGCTACCATAAAATTTGTGAGCATTTCAACTTTTCAGATGATATACTATATTTTCCCACAGTGTTTCCTCTACTTGGGCTGTTTTGAAAGAACTCTTTATATTTTTATTGCTATCTTGTCATGTCATATATATTAAAATTAACTCTTATTCAGTCTTTTTTCCCAACCTTTGTTTGAACAAAACAACATCTGAGTCAGCTCTTGATAAGAAAGGAAGTATGTGTAATTTTAGATTGTGGCATATTATTTATTATTATGACAGTGATAATGTGCCATTTCTACCATAGATTATTAATATTTATTTACAATATTAACCCAGAAATACTTCATCCCATTCAATTATAATTAAATGTATTTCATTCTCTTTCATTTCATTCTCTTTTTAATTCATCCATTTATTTCTCTTTAATTTTACAAAAATATAATTAAGCATTTTATGTTGCTTTCTTTTATGTTCGTGTTAGCAGTTATAGTAGCTACAGTAAAAGAAACAGAGTTGTTATATACTGTGCCTCATGTAATTGATTTTAATCTATGGTGTATGCTTATTGTACTCTAGCTGTAGAGAAGCAATACTAACATCATGATAGCTATATAGTAAGGATGAATGAGGTAGTAATAATGATCTCTTCAAGTGAATCAAGAATGGTAGTGAATATAAGACCAATATTATTGTCAATATTTAATTGAGAAATAAATTGTTAAATTCAAAGCACATTAATGTACAGTATACAGATTTCATTGTTTCTGTTTGTTTAGTTACTTTCTTTAGGTGAAAGTAAATGAAGTCAGTGTTCAGGTATAACAGAAGCATTCAGGATTAAAATTCCTCAATGTGATAGTTTAAAATGAGGAATAGGAAATTAAGATTTGTGATTATGGCGATGAGGAAGAGTGCACTTGCACACAAAAAAAGGGAAAGAGACATATTCCTTTTTTCGAGCAAGAACTAGATGTTCTGTCTCCCAATCATTCTAAATTTATTTTAAAATTATTCACATCTGATTCATGCTGTATAAACTGGTCAGACTTCTTTGGATATCAGAACAGTAGATGTATAACCATGTTTCTGTGTCTTGAGGATGTAAAGGATCAAAAACTAGTCACTTGTTCAACCATTGAGCATGGGGAAAATGTCAGCCAATCCTTGCTCACTTGCCAGAGTGTGTACTCAGTGTACCATCCCACCCTATCAGTTCCATTGATGTGTGTGTGTGTGTGTGTGTGTGTGTACTGTATGTATGAATGTATGTATTGTGCATATATGTATATGCATATATGTATGTAACTGGAATGTGTAACCTGCCTAGTCAATTGGCTGGTTGTGGAGACACAGCAATTGGCAGACCTTAATCTGAAGGCATGGACCTGAAGCCTGGACTCCAAGAGAAGTATAGAAGGATTTAGCTTGGGAACAACAGCTAGAGGGTTTACTTTCACCTTTCATGTTGTTTGCTGAGACATGTTTGATCTTCTCCAGCTTCCTGTCTCCCTGCCTCATCCTCTACTTCCTACCTTTCATTCAGTGCTCAGTAAAACTGGCCACTGTATTGAGACACTTGCTTATATGTGAAAACAATGGTCTTGCCTGCCTTTTTTGATGCAGTTGAAAAAAATTGACTTAGAATTAAAGTCAGTTACTTGTTTTGAACCCAAGAATGAGGACAAGCAATCTAGAAGCATGAAAACTCAGATTGCTTGAGTGAATCACAAACAAGGCAATTTAATATAATACCTACACTCATATCTCTTCCCCTTCACCCGAATACAAGATAATAAGGTGATAAATATTGCCTATGTCAGGATTCAAGAATCAAGAAAGACACATGGAGTTAGTTAAGTTAGTTTCTTTACTGTTCTTCATTTATAGACAGAATCTTGCCACATCAAAGCAACTATTTGCATAACGACAGATACTGTATCTGGTAACATCTAGGGGAAAAGCCATTTTAATCCTCTTCCTACCAATCAAACTTTACCAGTTCCACAGCTTCTTTGCCCTTTAGAAAACAGCCCCTCCTTCATGGGAATCTAGACTACATTCAAGATGGCAAGCCTCTATTGTTTTCAAAACTCTTAATATTGACAAGCCAACTTGGACTTGAATTTGGACTTCGTCACCTATTCATGAAAACATGCTGCTCCCAATTCAGCCAAGAATTTCCTCCAATAAGAGTAAGTACTGTCCTCCCACAGCGGTGAAATATTGTCATTTCTGAAATGCATTCTCTATCCATGGATATAATGCCATTGGCAAGTAGATAAGAGAAACTCCATGTGATTTAAGGTAATGTACTATTTAGGCATGGCTAGTTTATTAGCTTCGGATCCATGTCATTCTTACTTATGTTCCTTCTGTACAGTACTATTTCTCTATCAATTGCATTTTTAAAAAAAGTGCTTTTAAATTCTGAAAGTCTTTCCCCCAGAATTACAGTATTTTCAAGTGGCCGAACAGCCCAGCTATCATAGATCTATCATAGATTTTCACGCTTAGGATCACTGCAGCATCCCCATGGCCATGTGATCAAAATTCAGACACTTAGCAACTGGTTCATATGTATGATTGTAGTGTCCTGGGATCATGGGATCCCTTTTTGTGACCTTCTGCCAAGCAAAGTCATTGGGATGACATATTCACTTAACAATCGCGTTACTAATTTAGCTGCAGTGATTCATTTAACAAGTGTGGCAAGAAAGTTCATAAAATGAGACAAAACTCCCTTAACAATGATCTCACTTAGCAACAGAAATTGTGAGCTCAGCAGCTGTCATAAGTGGAGGATTATCTACCTAGCATCCCTCTGTAGAACCATCTAAATCCTAGCATTAGAGGACCATTCTGTGCTAAAACTGGAATGTTTCACAAAACTATTAGATGAGAAATCTCATTTCTTCCCTGCTAAAATCTACATTCCATGTTACTGAGAAATTCCACCACTATCCCATCCCCACTCCATCCTGGGCCTTGATTATGTTTCTAAATGGTCTTTTGATTGCAGTGCTTACCTTGCCCACATATTGAGTATCTGGACCAGTATATTCCTCCAATAAAAAAAATTGATTCCACATCCATCCACGCTTTGTCCGATGCATGGCTTTTCCCTGATCCTTAGCCAGTCCCATTATCCTTTTAGCTTGCAAATACACGCTAGTCCTCTTCGGTGACAGTAAAGTAGGAATCTCGTAAAAAATACAAGTCCAAATTAGAAATGCCAAGCAGTTGCAAATTTTCATTCTCTGGACCTTCTGCAGAGAAGTCTGCTGAACTTGGTATGTCTTTTCCTTTGACCAGTAGAATCTTCTGCAAATGTTGTTGTACTCCTCTTTGAAATAACCTGTAAATTGGATAAATGTTTAGATGAGTTTTAAGTTTATATACCTTGATGAAACCCCATCACCGCCTCATTTTGTGCATGTATGTTACAATGTTCAACTTTCAGAAGATCCTATACACATTAAATAAAGGGCTGAGAAATATCTGCAACAGATTGTACAAATCATATTCTAATAGGATAATATTCAAAGCCCATCTAAATGAAAGGCAGAAATTACCTATAACCAACTTTTTTGCTCTGACTTACCCTAGAGGTGAGAATGTATCATTGTGGGCTAGCTATTTTATACAGAAGTACTAACACCACCATTCCTCTCCTCCCACTTTTTCTGATATCCTGTTATAATGTGTTTCTCCTCTGCGTATCTTTCCAATATCCCCCTTCCCCTTTTAAAAAATAGTCTGCCAATATTGACACAGACTGATCTTTCTGAAATCTGGAACAGGAGATTGTTTAAGTCATTCAAAATTTATGCCAATGAATAAATTGTATTTGCAGTAAAGCAAGGTTGTTTAACTTTCCTCTATGGGGAACTGCACTTTAAAAGAAAGGTTTTTTTGTTTTGTTTTTTATCTCAGAGATTGCAGAGACTACTGTCAAAAAAAAGAGGAAGGGTTCTCAATGCCTCTCTCCAAAACTGTAACACCAATTATAGTAGCAGGTGCTTGATCACTACAGTGACAGCACATGGACAAAAAAATTGGGAAATAACATGCAAGCAGCATGTTGTAGCCTTAAATTGGTTAATTTTATCTGCAATTTAAACACTGGTGCCCTTCACAAGTTTGCCAACAATGAGAATGATAAAAAGAAAAACCAATACTCATATATTCTCAGTGATCTGCTTTTTGATAAACTGTAAATATGGCTGGAGAACTAGTTTGGAGCTAGAGTTAATAAGGCATCAGATTAGAAACTAGGAGGTCATGAATTCTAGTTCAAGCCTTAGGCACAAAGTCAGTTGGAGGATCTTGAACCAATCACACTGTCTTAGTCTTTGAAAGGAGGCAATGACAAACCAGTTCTGAAAAACTTTGTGTCCCCCTTCCAAAAAAAACCTGCAGGGAGTTGAATGAAATATATACAAATGCTACAAACACACACACACACACACACACACACACATCCACAGACACAAAGAGTGTTGTTATTCAGCTCGGAGTCTTTTTGTTAACTTAAATCCATAAATCTCTTTGTTATTAAACACATATTTTATTCTAATGCAATGAATTTTCAATGAACCCACAATCTCAGGGGGCTATTTAAAAGGAGTCATGCATATCGAGGCCTTCAGATCAGGAATGCACTGGACATTTTGACAAATTGAACATTTATTTATATTCATATTATTGTTTCATAAAACAGATTTCAGGATTTGCACCCATTCACATACAGTAAAACCGAATTCAGATTGCAGCAAATTAAGAGACACAGTATATTCTTTAGCTAGAGATCAAAGACTATCAATCTAGGCATATTTATTAAACATACTATATTGCATGATAGTCTATGCAACGTAATAGGTGAATATGTTTACTTATTCAACCTAACACTTGAGATGCTCTCTAGTACAGCAGTCACCAAACGGTGGGCCACGGCCCACTGGTGGTCTGTGAGAAAATTTTGGTGGGCCACAGAGAAATCTCATCCCCAGAGCACCCCTCCAAAGCAATTAATCCATGCTGCGTAGAAACACAAGGCTGTGCCGTCCTCATGGCCCGCGGGAACCCTCCCTGCCCACTCATTCCTTACCGGGTAAACTTGCCTGCTAAATTGCTATTTTTCCTTTTTCCGACCATCATCTGTTCTGCTGTGCCGGGAGATTTAGATTAGCTAGGAAGCAGAAAATGGTTGGATTTCTTGCTTTCTAGCTAGTCTTTAGATCTTCGGCTCTGCTTTTAAGCACAGCTGAACCTCCCTTAAGACTGAAGATTTGCTTGCAAGCAAATTCAGTGCAGACTCACAGCAAGCAAATTTGAGACACTGAGCTAGCCAATGGCAGATAGATCACTGAATGATTTTGTGAGCAACTCAATCTGCCTGCTTTACCTGATTTTGGGTAAAAGTTGCTCTTTTTTTATAAAAAATTCAATATTTACATACATGGTGTGTGTTGTGAGTTAATTTTGTAAGTTTGCTTGCAAGCAAATTTTATGTGACAGACTGAGCTAGCCAATGACAGATAGATAGATCGCTGAATGAATCTGTGATTCTGTGAGCAACTTAATCTGCCTACCTGCTTTGCCTGATTTTTGGTAAAAGTTGCTCTTTTTTTATAAAAAAATCAATATTTATATAAATATTTATAATATCTACATACAAGCCATGCCCAGCCAATCACATGACCACCAAGCCACACCCACAAATTAGGCCATGCCCACAGAACTGGTTAGTGGTCCCTGGGATCTAAAATTATGAGTTTGGTGGTCCCTGAGGTCCAAAAGGTTGGCGACCCCTGCTCTAGTACATGGCTATCTGACAAAAATGTGAATGCATGCCAACAAACCCTTGAAGTGGGTCAGAAGTGGGGAACTAAAGCCAAACTAACTTTGACTAAGAAGTACCTTCTACTTTCATTGATTCTTACCCACCTGTCTTAAAAATTAAGTTAATGCTCCTAATTATCTCAGAATTCCGCATTGGAAATTAGTATTTAGCTAGAGGAAAATCTTTTAGTGAGCCTAACCGATTGTGTGAATTCATGGGATTTTATCTGAAAACTCAGATAATGACAACACCAAAATCATCATCATCATCATCATCATCATCATCATCATCATCATCGTCATCCAATAATTGAAGTGGCAAAAAAAAGTACAATACGCCTCTTAAAATGCATATATTTTTTTTGTAAATTTTATTTGAGTTTTCACAAAGAGAAAAAAAAATACAAATAAAACATCTTTTTTTAAAGTAGCGTAATCCCGGGTTACATTTCTTCGTACAGACAAAAATTTAGGTTCATGCTCATTTTTATATTCTATTCCATATCTTATTACTATTTTACATTTTTTGCATAGCTTCTCCCCTCTTTTAATTTTCTCAATTTTATTTTAATTATCTCATCTCAATTCAAATCATTGTATTTATATTTTTTGTCTGTCCTGTTTCAATTATCTATTATCTTTTCTCATTAAACAAAATTTCTCCTGTAGTTACTGATTGGAGTATGACGCCTTTATATCTTTTCCCTAAAGTTGTAACAAATTCAATATAATACATAACTTCCATTCGGGTTCTGCTTGGTGCATTCTTAAAATACACACTGTATTCTTAAAAAAAGAAAAAAAATATAAATGTATATAATTAAAACAACATTCCAGTCCAATTCAATGCTATCATTAATATTAATATTCATTAAAGTCTTAACATCTTTAACATTACTTTTCAATTAAATATCATACTTCTATGGGAACAATTATAAGCTTTCCATAGTTAATTCCCCCTCCTTCACTTTTATTTTATAAAACATTAACTAATTAAAATGTTCCCGTTCCTTCCTAATTCAATTTTCTCATTTATTTTATTTCACTTATTTTATTCACAAACATTTCACTAAATTACACTAACTATTTTATCCCTCATTTTAATCATACGTTGTTTCCAATTTTCTAAAGTTATTTCTATTACTAATATAACAATACAATCTTATGTAGAATCCCTTTTTCAGTTAGATTTTCACCCATTATCTCTAAATAGGTCCTGTTTCGCTATATCTTGCTCCGGTCCTTTGTAACTTCTTTTCCTTTCCTTCTTCCCTCTCTTCTTCTCTCTCCCCTTTTTAGCCCCTTGTCTCTCTACCTCTATTTCTCTCTTCTGTATTCTGTTTCTGTTGCTTTCCAGTATTATACTTATTTTTTGAATTATTTTTCTTTTCTTTGGTTGTTTTTTTAAGTCTTAAATTCTCCATTCTCTTTCCCCCCTTTCCTTTTTCTTCCCCACATAAAATTGCTTGTTCATTAAAGATGGCTTCTTCTTTGTCCCATTCTTCTTGTTTTGCAGTCTTTTCTTGTTGTTTCTCATAGTTCCAAATCTCCATTTCTAAGAATTGAAATACGAAACCAAAAGAACCCTTCCCTTCTTGTGCATCTTCTTTGTACTTTTTAAGTTCCATTTTCAATTCATCCAGAAGTGGTGCCATTGTATAAATTTTTAAACAACCACCCGATTGATTTTAGTCATTCAAATATAATAACCAAGAATCCAAAGATCACCAAATAATCCAAATACACGCAAGCTGTTTCTTTTTTGCTCTTTTTTTTCACTTTCTCTTCCTGGGGTTACTATTTAGTTGCAAAGTTTCAGTTAAAATGTACCTTTTAGAAGTCTTGTTGAAGTTTTACTGTAGATTCTTTTTAATTCCAGGCAGTCTCCTCCCTCTTCCAGATCCTGCCCTTATTCTTTTTCTCTCCCTTCCTGCTTATGAAAAAGAAATATTTTAATGTCCAGAAATCTTTATTATCCCTTTGGCATTTTGTTTTATTTTCAGCTTAATTGCCTATTGATGTCAAAGCGTATTTTTCCGATTTCTTATTTAAGTCTCTTAGTTGTCAGTATAGGGAAGGAGAGAGAAGAAGAAAAAAGCCAAACCTTTCCCTTTTCACTTTCCTTCACTGCTTCCGACTCTTCTTTGGGAGCGATGTTATTTTTTGTAAGTTTAAATTCCAGGGTACCTTGGTTGTTGCGTTTACAATTTAACCTGGTCAGCCAAAACTTTTACTTCTTATCTTCCTCCTGCACATTCTTTTCCGGTCAAGTTCTTCTTTGGGGTGGCCATTTCTGACCACCGCTGCAACCGCCTTTGGGAAAGGGAGTAATGGCCAGCTGAGGAGGAGAGATGCGGCTCTCCTCGACCCTGCTGGCAGTCTCCCCCCTCTTCACCACCTCTACGGGGTGGCT